GTACATGACTGACAGTTGTCGGATGGATGATAGAAACGCTCAGTGTGTCTGAAGGATCGTTGTTCATACACACAGTCTGATGGGGGAGCTGAAAGAATATCAGTGAAATGAGTCAACTGTTTACTATACTCAACTATACGACTTTATCTATGTTATGTTTGGCCACGTGCCATCAGGAGCCAAGAAACAAACCCAACAGCAGATGATTTCACAAATTAACATTACGTCAACCCCATCCCGTTTTTTCTGAAAACCTTCAAACTCTAAACCCTTGATGGCAAATGATTTGAACCAGATGCTTTAAGGAGTTTTATAATGCTATTTAAGCTGTTTTCCAAATGAGAATCAGATGAAGACTGTGTAAAGCCACCATTTCATATATAAACATAGGAAAACAGCTACAGTTAGAATAAATAGGCAAAAAACTAACAGTTGTATCAAATTTAAAATAAATAGATGGTACGACTGCATAAAAAGAAAAAGTAACAATGAAGTTCTCTAAAGCAGCAAATCAAATTTATTCCGAATAATTTTGTTAGTTTTAAAATAATTAATAAAAAGCAACACTTAAGTGTAAAAAATATAATGCTGGGGGATTTGTTAGTTAGCTGAAGTACAACTTGAGACATTTAAAAAAAAAAGTAAAAGTGTGCCGAATTAGCTACTGGCAGTTCTGGTTTGCCAGTGTACCTAAAAATGAACAAACAACTAACACTGGAATACTTTGATACATATCAAACGTGATGATATTCAAGCAAGTTCTGGAGATATAAGGACATCAGAGATATTGTTAACCTCAATAAAAGCAAGTCACACTGAATTTAAAAATTCTGTATGTGTTTCATACCAGCTATCTTCATACCATATATCACATAGATTTTGCCACCATGAGCAGCCAAATCAAACGTGGCAAACTACAGCACCCACATGCACCTGTCCCTTCCACCTCATGGAGTATCTTTGCCTCTCTCTGCTGCAGACATTTCTCACCAATCTCAATTACCTCTTGCACAACCTTACCAGGACACTGGGGGCAGCAGTCTCCAGACAACACATTTGGGTTGGAGCATGGCAGTAGTGGACACCTCTTCATCAGACACTGGACATTCCCATTCTACAACAAACACGACACAGATTGACATAAAACTGCTTCAAGAAGGCCACAGGTGATCAACACATCAGGGCGAGTGATGCTCATTATTCTTACTATGCAGCTGCATGTCCTGCATATGTCAGTAGGATGGGGAAACTCCTGTCCATTGGGATATTCTTTCCCAGCGTAACTGCAGCCTAATGTAGAGAAGTATTGTTTTCATTGTGAGATTTTCTTTTGTCGATCTGTATTCCTGGTAGAAAATTCATATTTCCTCACCATTGCAGTTGTTCTGACAGCATGATCCAGGTAGAGGCGCGTTACAGCGAGGGTGAGGGCATTGTGGTTGGTGGCAGTCAATTGTGCCACTTACACACCTGCACTCCTCACACACACTCACAGGATTAGGAAAAGCCTCTCCATCCACAAATACTCTGTTTTCAAAGGAACAGTCTGGAAAAGATGCAAACACACACTTTATACTGAGCAGAAAGCAAGGTAATAATTCAATTCATGACCAAATCTCTTTCTAAGTTTGACTACCTGGACATTTTGGGCAGCACTCTCCAGGCGGTGTGTATGAGTTGGAACAGTTGAGTGGAGGACAAGGTCTTCTCTCACACTCTACACTACCATGCTGAGGAGAATCAAAGGCTGTGTCAGCTGGTTTGAAGTGCTGAGCAGAGTGTGTGTGAATGGAGAAGGGCTCACCTGACAGGTACAGACGTGGCAGGGCTGGTCAGGGGTCGTAAACCTCTGGCCATTGCTATAGATACGATGGTTATAGGTGCAGCTTTCACACACTGCACAACAGGAGCCTAAGGAAAGGAAAGAGACAGTGTACTGTTACACAGTCATATACATATAGACAAAGCTCAGGCACACACAGTCTTACCAGTGATCTTAGTGGGATGCAGGCACTCAGTGGAGGGGCAGCGTGTGCGTGTACACAAGGTCTCTCCATTCACACAGGTGCAGCTGGAGCAGGGACCCTCAGGGTGCCAGTTGGAACCTTCCTCATATTCCACCCCCTCCAACACACATGCTACAATGAGAAAAGAGGATTTGTCATTCATTGACTGATGAGCTGCACCTACATGTGTGTTTTTTAGAAGCATGATTACCTTTGCAGATTGGACAGCAGAGCTGTGGGTCTCTAATAGGATTGGAGCACTGAACAGGAGGGCACTTCTCTTCACGGCAAATAACATTCCCACCCTAACAAAGATACACAGCATACGATTTTACATGAGACAAAGGTAGAAACAGTTCTCCCTTTGTGAATGAGGCCTAATGCAGACCTGCTCATTAAACTGTACATGTTTCTGACAAACATCCTCCAATACCCTACGGACTTGCCTTACACCTGCACTGGAGGCAGGGTCCACTTCCATCAGGTACGAACACTTTTCCGTCAGCAAATACTCTCCTGTCATACTCACATTCTGGGGAAACAAATTCAAACCGATTATGTTCGCTTGAGTTTAAAAAGTAAAAGTATAATAACACATTTACAGATATACTGACCATCACATCTGGGACAACACTCTCCTTTGCGCTTAACTGGATGACTGCAGCGTGGTGTGGGACATGATGAATCCATACGCTCACAAGACACTTCACCTGCCTAACAGGTACACACAAGAAGTGATCACTCTTATGGAGCATTAACATTTAGTTGTTGTCAGATACAGAGCTGGAACCTATAAACTAGGGCTAGAACGATAAATCTGCCAGGCCAATATATCGGTTGATATTTAGCTTATTGAAGATATATTCCTGTCTGTGTATATGTAGGTCAATAAGATGAGACAACTTAGAAACTGTGTCTCCATAATGCACCCAAAAGCACTGAAAAGTTGATGATTTTACATCTATAAAATGTCCTCCTCAGTATGTATGTTGGTCATTGTATGTTGACAAAAACACCGATATATTGTCCGAAATCTGCCCCAAAAATCCAGTATCTGTCAGGCTATACTATAATCCAATTTTCAAATGTAATCAAGTTTACTTCTAAAAGTACAACAGGCTTTGACAGGTGGTTTTCTGTGAACCTCTTGGTCGTTAAACTTTGCCAACATATCATGAGTACAGTCACATGAACATCACACAACCAACAAAACATTGCCAGACTGAACTCACAGAGCACCGGCAGCGGAGGCAGGGGTCTCTCCTCGAGGGGAACTTCTGCCCATCCACATACACCTTGGACTCATATTCGCACTGCTCGCACCTACAGGTCACACACACACAACATAAAGATTTAAAACTTTTGGAAATCTTTCATCAGCAACACAACACGTCTCATCTTACACCTATACCACCTGCACAGTAAAAAGATGGATTGATGCAGGCTTGAAAGTGGTATGGATGGAGGTTAGGCTGGTTAGTTACCGTGGGCAACAGTCTCCAGGGCGATGCACCGGGTTTCGACAAGACAATGCACGACATGGATTGGGTGAACAAGCCACATTTCCATTCTGCGGGAGAAAAATATAGTAAATTTAAACTTTAAAATACAGTAACATTTAATGAAGAAAATGATGATAAATGACATACCACACAGGTACACTCTTGACACCGGTCTCTAGTAGGGATCACAGCTCCGTTAGAGAAGTCATGACCATTCACACCACAGCCTACAACACATACACAAACACACACTGTGTCTCTGCAGTTCACACAGACATGCTACAGTGAATTTAAGAGACTCACCTTGACAAACCGGACAGCAGCTATTAGGTGGAGGAGCGGCTGGGTTTTTACATGGGGTGTTACACCGCTCCCTCTCACAGTGAACATGACCCTCCTGGTTGAATGGAGAGAACAATTTCAAATCAAGTGAAGTGATAGAAAAGATGGACGGTTAAATTATTAGTCAGTATCAGACCCACCAAACAGTAGCAGACATCACAGGGATTTTCTACTGGCCTCCACTTTGCTCTGTGATCATACCGGACACCAGAATGGATGCAGCCTGCAAACACATTTTATATCAGATTGCTTTATATCATGGTGTTACTGGCAGTGGTTAAAAACTAATTCAATGCTAAAACATATTGGAAAGAAAGATGTCACTTTCTGTAGGACCAAACCATTGACCATTTTTTACAGATACTAAACCAGTCTCATCTATCAGTTCAGACAAATGGACAAATAACACCTCAAGTCTGTTGTATCAACACATTATATTAATACAGAGAAGTAATATTTTTTAGTTGCCTCATCCTTGTCTACTTGACAAGTTTCCACCTGACTAAAACTATCAAAAGGAGTAATTTCAGCCAATTAAATTACACAAAACCTAAACGAGTGTGTTCGAATGTATTCCAAATGTTTGTTTTTATATGAAGCTTTTTGACCGTATGGTCAGGCCATGTTTCAAATGAAGACTAATAAATTTGTTTGAACAAAAAACATTTTTTTGTGTATTCCATAAACATGTGAAAAGACCTACTGAGGAGAAACTACCACAGAGGAGCCCCTGTACATGCATCCTGCGCAATATTAATTATTGAAAATAATAATAAATAAAGTTTTTCAAGTAATTTATTAAGACACATTTAATCTCTAGTTTTAGATTTGTTTAGAGATTTGAGTCGTGTACAGATTTTGTTCTTGTGTCCTTACCTTTGCATCGCTGGCAGCAGTCGCCAGGTACAGGCTCCTTCTGTGTGCAGTCCAGTGAAGGGCAGGGTTGTGGAAAGCATTCCCTGTTACCCCCCTGTTGGCAATGAAGGGACACAGAGATGAGATTAAATGATGAACAGTGGAAGACCGAAGCGATCATTCAGGCTCTATAAATATGTTTGTCGAATACTCACCTTACATGTACATGTCTGACAGCCATCTACATTGCTGTAGGACACATTATGAACTGTACCATCCAGCTCACACCCTGAAGATGAAACAGATGTTTAAGTGCATACACTTTTTGAGCTTGTGCGAGTGTCTGCATATCCCAAGCGACAAAGCTGAAGTGTATACTGATAGTTTAGATAAGAGAAGAGGACTGTGAATATAAGTTTGAACATTACAGCTGGTCCCTCTCTGTCTATATTCACCTCAACTCTACTCTAGGTCACTGGGGGAACATCTGGCTCCACTCTCTCCAGTAATGACAGAACGGCATGGTTCTGATGTAATATGCACATGCTTGCTCTCAAACAGACTATGTTTTATGTGCCGTAACAATAACCATGAGTGCCTCCAGCCTTCCAGCCGTTAAAGACTGCTACCAACAAGTCTATTAAAGCTGAAAAAGATTTACTGTTGGAGATACAGGGAGAAAACTGTAGGGGGAAGCAGTTTTCTGGTCCCCACAAAGGCCATGGTCAACAACTTCCCCGATTCTGTTGTATTTTAAGTTATTTTGATTAAAAATAAAGTTGTTACAGTATTACGCGTATCAAACACTGAAGAGAAATGTCTACTCAATTTTACAAATCAAAGGCTTTAAGGGAGCTCATCAAATATTATTTTCGCTTAGCTTGGACATTTCAGGAGATAATTATTTTAATGGCGACCATCCAAAGGACAGAGACAATGTGTGTGAGAGAGGGCAATAATCACAGAGTGTGAGAGAAGCTAGTGAGGCTGCCTACTGTGCCAGCAGCCAACAGGCATTTCCTCTAGCAAGGCAAGCATGCATGAGATCAAAGTGTGTGTAGGAGTGTGAGTCTGCAAGTGTGCATCAACTGGGTGCCATTGGAGTCTTCAGGCTTACATGCAGAAACAATTAAGGGCAAGATGAATGAAAAGACAGAGATAGTGACAGAGAGAGCAGTCGGGGAGGGGTAAGAGAGGGGACAGTGGGCTGTTTGGGCACATGTGTATGACATTCATGGCAGGACAGAACAAAGTTTAAATAACTCTGTGGTAGTGGGGAGTGAACCAAGAAAGAGAGAGAGAGACAACAAGAGGCAGAGAATCCTTAATGAGGCACCAACTAGGAATTTTCTTACAGCTATATTACAACAGATTACTCTAAAACTTACAGTACGCTTTGGTAAATGCTAGTAATACAAAATACATTGGTGACAACATGCAAAACTATCAGGATGAAACTTGCATTAAAACTGCATTAACAGATTTTTTTAGACACTTGGAGACAGCACAAGCTATAAACCTGACATTGACAATTTACTATATGTCTCTTAAGTGGCTAAATGCTGCACTATGTCAATTAACTTTGTCTGTCCACTGTTTGGTAACATATAATTGTTTTTTTTCCCAAAATAGGAAACAAGTGGTAAGAGGGAGCCAAGTCAGGACAGTTGTGGGCCATAAAAAACAATATGAGCTGCTTTCACACCATAATTAGAAGAGATAAAGTACACTATACAAAGTTAATTAAAAACATATTTTGCTATTTAACAAGGGAATGAAGTCTTTTTTTCTATTTAATTCAAGTGTCAGTCCTTTTAGCTGTCATCCGTATCATGAAGTGCTTTCCGTTGCTCTGAGCTCACAGAGACGATGGAGGTACAACGCTACCAAGTGGTTGTTCACTCTCTTCTCACTGCTGTGAAAAGCTGTGAAAAGTACTTTCTTGCTCCATTTTTCCTGGAAACAATCCAGTATTTACCAGCCATGGCATATTACATGGTTTCCAGTAGCTGGATCCCGCCACTCTGTGAAACAGGAACCACAATTGTACATATGGCAGACAGCCTCGGGGTAATCATGGCAACGGGCCTGATGGCAGAGGTCAGGGCAGGTGATAGGAGCAGAGCCAAGAGGACAGCCGCTGAACCAGTGGAGCTTGAAACAAAACCTACAGACAGTGTTCCGAGGGAAAGGGAATCACAGCATTGGTTGAAATGCTAAAAAACTATATAGAAAAGATGTAACTTAATATTAATGATTAAGTAGCCTCGTAAAGCCAGCCAGTATTCACTTACTAGTTTTCACCGTAAGATCTGACTTTCAAAAACTTCTACTGAGATTTGGCTATGGTTTGTAGTTGGATGCCAATACTTTGGGGAGAGATGATCATGTGACTCACTGACTTTGGAAACTTTGCAATTTGATCTGTTTTTCTCGCTGGTTCAAAATAAGGCATGGATCTGCAGCTGGGTGGTCTTCATTTTACCTAAAAGTTATTAAAAACCCAGTATTAATGAAAGTATTAATGAATAAAAATTGAAAATTGAGCACTGACAGACTAGTAAGTGGTGTGTTTGTTCAAATTAGGGGTTGGGTGGAGGTTCTTGTTGATGTCTAGGGTAAGGAAGGCACTTTTCATTACACAATTGTGCAACCTACTTCACTTGCTGCCTCTCCCAAGCAAATACTAAGTTGTGTCAGACCATAATGAACATCAAACAACAAATTGTGGGCTGGCTTGGCGAGGCTATTACCACTTTCTTCTTGTAATGCTGGTACCTGTGATCTGGTGTGATTGGAAGCCATATGTTGCTTGTATTTTGATTAGCTCCCATAACAGTATCATCCCTTTTTGGCTTAATCTGTCCCTTCCATTCCTGCTCTTGTTGACCTTTCAGAGCACTGCTTTTGTCTGGATCAAAAGTCATCCAATCCTGCCTGGCCCAGTGCTGGGGCAGGGGCGTTATTGGAGGGCAGGTACGGGTGATGCGGTTTAAAGCTTGGTCACTGGATGACATCAACTGTTGCTGCGTGTAGAAGAAGAACCGCAGGTAGTGAGGTCCATTGAAGAACCAGTTGCACTTGTCCTTGTCGTAACCATCTGTTCGAAAGCCAAATGCATCAAACCCACCGCGATCCAAACCAAATGGATCAAATCCATAGATATTGTAGCCTTTATCGCTGAAGAGATCTGACATTATCTTGTCTCTGTGAGTCTTATTTTTACTCTCTTCCTTTTCATGTGTCGCTTTACGCTCATTCTTCTTCTCATTCTCAAACATCCCATCTTCATACAAGCCAAACCAGGTCACATTAGAACGGTTGAACCCATAGCGGTTAAAACCAGATATGTCATATCCATCCTTATCAATGGAGTCACGGTTAAAGCCATCTTTGTCATAGCCCCACCTGTCCCAACCACTCCGGTCATAGCCCTCACGATCATATCCATGTTGGTTGAAACCAGTAATCCCAATACCAGAACTATTGTTGTCAAAGCTACGCTTTTGATATTTCCAACTTTCTTGTGGGTGTGTTTGTAATGAGGTAATATTACAAGGTGCACCAATGGTTATGGGCACATATACAACACACATCTGCTGAAGGGAAGAAATCACATCATCAGGGGTAACATCAAAAGGCTTCATCTTAACATGCCTCTGTTTAGCAGGATAAAGGATGTTGCTGTGAGCATAATCGTCTCTACGAGTTTGTCTTTTGAATCCATGCTGATGTTTCTCTTGCCACTGTGCCCACAGCTTGTCCATGAATGCCATGTGTGACAGGTATAAAGGGTCGTAAGAGGCTAGAGGTGAAGCCATGTGACCTCCTACCCAAAGCCTAAAGAGGCCAGAAAATGTCTGCAGGGACTGCGAGAACACTTGGAAGTCTGCCTGGTTTACAGTCCTCTGCAGGGTCACTGCATCTGGCAGCCACACCTAAAGGGATCAATAGAAATCAGACAAACCTGGTACCAGTAATACAGCTCAAAATACTGCAATGTATAGAAAGTACTGTAAGATAGGCTGTCAAATGAATAAAAGCTTTTTGACAAACCGAGGAGTTGAAGTTTCGCCTGAGACAAGGGGACCAGTGGAAACGGGATGTAAAGCCCTGGAAAGTGTGATGGGGGACGCAGCCAGAGGCGGGCTCACCGTCTCCTCCAAACAATCCAGCCTGCCAGGCAGCTGAGGACTTCATAGACCCAGAGTCCACTGTCCACTCAAAATATGGAAGTGCCAGTTTGCATGATGACATTGACTGTAGGTCACGCTCCACTAATCGCAGGAAGTAGCGGTGCCATGGGAGGAAGAAGGCATAATGACCAGCCAGAGGGGAGAACTCAGCTCTCAGTAATGCAAAACCCTTCCACACAGCTTAATCCACATGGAACACACACAGACACACACAGACACAAATAAACTTTCAATAATGATACAAAGGTATACTTTGAATTTAAAAAAGGAAGGAAGAAAAACCTTTAGATTTACAGTCTTACCTGGCCTAGCGTAGAGTTTCCTGATAGCCCGTTGGTACAACCTCCTCTCTTTCAGTGTGAGGTCTCTAATCTCTTTTCGCTGGGTCATATGTCTGCACACACAGTGAATTCTGCCACTATGTGTGCATATGCACTCTTCACAGCCTTGCCTGAACTTTTCCCCATATCTCCAGAGCTTGCGTTGAGAGAAGCATCCACAACTTTCACCACATCTCACATCAGAGCACTTCACTCCGGGAGAGAAGCTCATTACTTCTGCCTCTCCAGCTTGGTCATTCACCAAAGTCTGACACTGTATTAGAGTAAGGTAATCACACGTAAAAGTTAAATCTGGATTCTTGCGGCAGTCTGCCTTTGTAAGGTTTCCTTTCAGATCTTCCAGCTCAGTATGGTTGAAGTCTATATTGCTGTACCATATTTCATCCTCCACATTCTGCTGGTCATATCCCCAGAGAGTCCTGTTCACAGTGGAGATGTTGTATCTATGTTGAGAGTAATGCTGGTGGCCAGGGGGGAGACCCTGCCTTGGTTTGCGGAGGCAGCATGCACCCAACATGCACTGGTCCCTACAGGCATTAAAGGAAGGGAAGTTGTTGCTGCTGTTTCCAGTGCAGTAGAGGAAGTCCTCACAGAGGCCGGAGGTAGGATTAAAAGCCCAGCGGCGTTGAGATGGCCACACGCCATCACAGCTGTTCTCTGGTTTGGGTACCCAACATGCCTAAAAGTGGGGAGGGGGGACACAGGGCCTCTTACCCAGCCTTAAACCCCACTGCGATGCCCATAGCCAGAATGGACAAAGGACAAAAGTAAAGCAAAGCACTGCTATTGGGCTCACCCAATGCAGCAGGCCGAGCAACACACTACAGCTAAACCATGAACAGACCACAGACAATCACAAGAGTGACCTAAAAACTACATCAGGTACATTAAAGGAATTGTTTGACATTTTGAGAAATAGTCATTCACTTTCTTGCCAAGAGTTAGATGAGAAGATCGATGTTACGCTCATATATGTCCATTAAGCTACAGTTAGGAGACGTTAAACTTAGCTTTACTCAGTCCGAGGGTTACAAAAAAATCCACATACCAGTAACTATGAGTTTGGTAGAGATCTTCTTATCTAACTCTGGAAAGGTTTTTCCCAAAATTTCTAACTCACTACTAAAACGTAGCAAAGTACAGAGGCAAATACAAACAAGATGACTGAAAAGAAAATGCTAAAACTACAGCAACACAACACTTAACAGAAGGGGGTTTCAAACCTTCTTTTTTATTA